ATTCCTACCCCCCCTCATCCCCCTCATCCTCCCCCCATTTAAAAAAAAATTCAAGGGCTTGAGAGAGACGGCTCAGAGTTTAAGAGCTCTGGCTGCTCTCCCTGGGAACTCAGGTTCAGTTCCCAGCACCCACATGGCAGCTGCCAAATGTCTGTAACTCCAGTTCCAGGGGACCTGATGCCCTCTTTTTGCCCCCTCAGGAACCAGGCACAAGCAGACAAAACGCTCATGAGACTGACATGATACCTACGGAGCTAACAAGGCACCTACAAAACGCTCAAAGACCACATAAGAAGTCGATAAAATCATAGAATGTGGAAGCCAGAGAACAGCTTGCTGGGTCAGGTCTCTCCATTTGTCATGTGGGTCCTGGGGAATCAAACTCAGGCCTTCTGGTTGCTAGTGCCTTTACCCACCGAGTCATCTCCTCAGCTCTTCCTGCCATTTTATTTTCTTTTTTGAAAAAAAAAAAAAAAAAAAAAAACGTTGTTTAATGGTAAAACTTAGCACACTCCAGCACCAGGACTGGCATGGAGTAGAAGCAGCAGAGATGGCTGGCTGACTCCATGGAGCCTCACACGGCCAAGAGGATAAGGAAGGCCACCCTCAAACAGAAGAGCCCCAGCACTCGGGAGGCAGAGGCAGGCGGATCTCTGTGAGTTCGAGGCCAGCCTGGTCTCCAGAGTGAGTGCCAGGATAGGCTCCAAAGCTACACAGAGGAACCCCGGCCTCAAAAACAAAAAAAAAAAAAAAAAAAAAAAAAAAAAAAAACCCAGAAGAGCCCCATAGCCTCAGACAGGGCAAAGCCCAGAATGGCACAGGAGAAGAGCTGTTGCTTGAGATATTATTGGCATAGCCAATAATGAAGCTAGCAAACACTGTTCCAGTGCCGGCCCTGATCCAGCCCCAGCACCAATGAACTCAGCAGCTGTGTCATTGTTCCGGGAAACAGCGCTAGTCTGCAATTCCTGTCTGGACACCTGGATCAGGGAGCTGCTGCAGGAAGCTCTGTTTAGATGGGGCCTCTGGTCTACTCAAGAGGGAGGCAAAGGCCTGATTAGACCCCTGATACAGGAGCGGATCAGAACTGGAGTAACAACCAGTACCTTGGTGGTCTGCATTTTTCAATCTTCCAGCTTTAGGGCCCCCCCTGCTTTTTTTGGGGGGGTTCGAGGCAGGGTTTCTCTGTGTAGCTTTGGAAGCTGTCCTGGAACTCTCTCTGTAGACCAGGCTGGCCTTGAACTCACAGAGGTTCACCTGCCTCTCTGCCTCCCCAGTGCTGGGATTCAAGGTGTGAGAGCCACCATGCCTCTTCTCCAAATGTTCACAGACAAAAGCCAGCGTTCCCTTGGGGACTTGGGAAGCGGGTTCTCACTTGCTAAGAGGAGCCATTCTCCTTATCTCTTGCAAAGGGGTATTATCATAAGCTGGCCTGCAGGCTCTTTGATGGCAGACACCTGTTATACACTTAGAAGTCCTCACCCCAGCTCACAGGCCCCCCTTCCTCCCAGGTACCCACTCCCTTAGAACCCAGAAAAATCCCCCCTCCGTTTTTCACTTCTCCCAGCGCCCCCGAGAAAACTTTGGCAGTTTGTAATACACTTTTTTCTTTTTCACCCAGGGAGCACCTGTTCTATTTTGGTTTCTTACTGTGCCTTTCACATTCATTAACCTCTGACCTCCAGCTGTTCACCATAGCCACATTCAAACTGAACGTTCACACAAAAGACGAAATGCAGTATATATTTAATTAATTCATTTATTTAAAAAAACAAAACAAAACAAAAAAAACACTTTCATTTTCCCCAGCAGGCTGGACACTTCAGGGGGAGAACTGAAGGGCTGGCAATAGGCTTTTAAGAAAGTCCCAGAAATAAAGCCTTATCATTCATTAGGTTGGATGGACCTGATTAGCTCAGTCAGCAAAACACAGGGAGGTATTGATCCCTCACTCTCCAGAGACAGCCCGAACAAAGCCTGTCTTTGATGGCAGACACCTAACCAAAGCCCAGACTCTCTCTCTAGCTTAGAGAGAAGGGCTGGCACACAGCTCAGGAGACAAAAGGAACAGAGATTCACGAAAGGAAGAGAAGGGAGGGGGGAAAAAAGTTTGTTACCTCAGACGGTTTGAGGTTTCCTAATGACGTTAATTTGATTTATAAAGTTTTTCAGGGAAATGGGGAAATACCCCGGCTTTGTGTTTCCCTCTCAGGAAAAGCGTTAGCATTGCCAAGTTGGTTTTATTTATTCATTTGCGTGCTAACTGGCAGGCATGCACCAACCCCCGATTCTGCCACCTAGACCTAGGCAGTCCACTGGAGAGACGTGGCAGCCTTCCACTGGCGGTATCAGCAATGAAAGGGCATCTAAGGAAGGAAATGGTGGGATCTCGAATTAAGAATACACAACAGTATGAATGAGGGAAGCAGGGTCGTCCCGGTGCCTCAGGCTTTTCCCGCAGAAGCCTCAAGACTAGA